GTTGCTGTGAGCTGAGATGCCATGGCACTCTACCCAGGGGGACAGCTTGAGGCTACTGTCTCAAAAAAAAAAAAAAAAAAGAGTGAGAATGTCTCACAAGAAAAAAAGATATTACAAAATGAAGCTATCATTTCTAAACCAAAAAAAGCATGTAAAACCACCTCTGCTGACAAGATGAAGTACTCATCTGGGGCCTGCTGTGCTCAGGAGGGCTTTGTAGCTAGGTAAAGAGAAGGTGGGCTGCCCAGAGCTTGGGATTTGTTACTGGTGAGGGGGGTGATTTGGGCCAGTCCTAGGGTGCCTCCGTGTCTCCTATCAGGGTCATTCTGGGGGCACAATGAAGTAATGTCAGCAATGTGCTTTGGCATAGAACCTGACACCTGCACATGGGTATCAGGACAGACAAAGACTTGCCAAAGGGTCCCCTCTCTGAACCTGCTTACAGAGGATGTTAGTCACCCATCCTTAGCTAGTGGGGCAGAAAAGGCTTGAACAATTAATACCATAGTGCTAATGGTGTCTAATGTTCTAACATGTGGAGATATTAACTGGCATAGTGTTTAGGCCTTGGCTGACAAGGTGCACTTTCAGGACAGATGTGACAATATGGTCCACAGGTGATATCCTCCTCAGAGAGAGAGAGACAGGCCACCCGCGAGCATCCAGTCCCTGCTCAGCCAGGCTAGTCCCAGCTCACTGATTTCACTCAGTACCTGTTTTCTGCCCTCCTTTGACATTTGCCAGTTGTTACTGAGTGGTTCCAGTGCCATAGGGTGCTCTGGAAAGCAAGCTTTTCTGTGGCTGGCCAGAGCCTGCTTCTCGATTGCCCTACAGGGAAGGAGAGAATGAAAGGCCTCCACTGAGAACTCTTAGAGCACAATTGCTTGTTTTCTTTCCTTGTCTCAAATTTGTCTATTGTGTGAATTGTTACCAGTTCTTTCCCACATGAGCTATGCGGGACCTTTTTCTCTTTTCTGTCTTAGCCTGATAGTTTCTGGGATGGGTAGACTCTGTGATCTATGGGCACTGCCCTCCCACAGGCCTACACCACCCACCTCAGAACTTGTGGTTTGGGATCAAACTGTCACCTCTACAGTTACACACACAGGAGTGTCCAGAAGTATGGAATTATACAACCTCAGAGCAGATACCTCTTAGGTTCCCATTTAGCAGGTACTTCCAGTGCCAGGTAATGTCCAATATGCTCTAAAATCTTACGAGTTCATGCTATAAATGTACAAGTTTATACCATTGACATAGGATATATACCAGACTTTTCTAGAATCATACTAACTGGAGTCTCAGTATCAACCCCAAAGCAGAGAGACAGCCCCCCTTACCCTTGCCATGGAGCTGCTAACAGCCTCATTTAGGGAAGGAAACACCAGAAAACAGCACAGTGGGGGATCCTAGGGGCAATGACCACTGTTCAGGATAGAGAGCTGGTCCCAGGACCTAGAAAACCCACTAGAGGCCAGTCAGTCTCTTGTCCCACCATGTGCCCCACAGGCCTCCTTAGCCAGGTCTTCCCATGTGTCACAAGAAAATCCACCAGAGGGCCTACCTCTGTTCTTTGAAGTAGGGATGCTGCAGGGCCTGATGGGCAGTGATTCTCTCATCGGGATCATAGGCCACCATTGCATGCAGGAGGGAGAGGCATTGCTGGGACAAATTGGTTGTCAGTAGAGGTATTCCTGATCCCTTTTTAAAAGGAAAATCAAAACTCATAGCTCTCGACCTGTATTAAAAGCCCAATGATAATAAATGATCATGCCATTATGTAGAGCACTTGGCTGGTCTAAGGCCCTGCACTGAAGGTGACAGTTTATGATCTACAGCTTATAAATATGTCCAACCCACAGGATGTACAACTCCAAGAGTGAGCCCTCACATATGAAATCTAGTTCATTGACCAAAACAAATGTACCACTCTGGGGGTGATGTTAACATGGGGGAGGCTGTGCATGTGTGGGCACAGGGGGGTCTATGGAATATCTCTCTGTTTGCCACTAAATTTCCTGCATACCTAAGATTACTCTAAAAAATAAAGTCTATTAAAAGGGAGGGATGTGAAATCTGTTATGCTATAAATGGAATAAAACTACTTTTCCTATAAAGGATTAAAATCACATTCTCATGCAGGATTTTTAAAAAGTTTTTTAAAAAAGTAATCAAAAATAGGGCAGTGCCTGTGGCTCAGTGGGTAGGGTGCTGGCCCCATATACCGAGGGTGGCAAGTTCAAACCCAGCCCCAGCCAAACTGCAACAAAAAAATAGCCAGGTGCTGTGGCGGGCACCTGTAGTCCCAGCTACTTGGGAGGCTGAGGCAAGAGAATCGCCTAAGCCCAGGAGTTAGAGGTTGCTGTGAGCTGCGTGACGCC